GTGAATTTTGTCAAGAAAATTTATGGAGCGAATTTCCAATGGATGAATTATTTTAGGATTTGGTTCATTATCTAAAAAATTGGTTCAATAAAATTGAGACAATAAAGGGTCATGTGATCAAAAATGATAATTTTACAGAGATGGAGATTAATCTGGCCTTTCCACCACTCGCACATATTTCTAGACAAGTGTTTAAAGCCGCATAGTGGAACATGGAGCATCCAGATAGGAGCCTGTTGTCTCAAATAAAAGTAAATAATGACAAGAGATAAACTTAGGCTAAAACTTTAGACCCGATATCGTTTGCATACTGTCAAAAGGATAGTTCAACACTCATCTAACAACAATACATATCAACTGCTCAAGATTTAGAACAATAATACATATTAATAACATTCCTCAAACCACAACACCATGCGAATTACATTAAGCTACCGTTAATAAGCAAATACAAGGAATGCTATTCGTTATACTAAACGATTGTCACACAATGTTGGATTTGCAAAGAACATATATATATTGGTGTACTATTACGGTTTGCCAATTAGAATAGTATTTCACATATTACTCTAATGGTAAGATGTTTTATTAATAAGTTTATTACTTCATACCCGGTTGTTCATAGACTAGCTATTGTTATATACTTATCTTATTATTACATTATGTTGTCTAATATTCTTCCAAGTAAAACTGCTATATTTACTGCAGTGTTGTAGTAGCGAACAAACTTGCAGGAACGCGTGTGTGATTCTAGTATTAAAGCTGACAAGAATGCAGTTTCAAGAATAAGAGCATTGGATCCTCTATTATGTTGCAGGCCTTGAATCAACTAAATTAACTAAATTGATCTTGTTTTACTGTTCAAGAATGAAACCACTGATTCTGATATCAATTTGTGAGATAATGTAATAATTGGCATTAGCTTACATAGGTAAATGTTTGAGTGCCAACATTTCCAGCAACGTTAGTGAATGTGAATGATTTCTTATCACCACTCGAAGTTACACTTCCAACTGAGAATGAAGAAATGATTAAATTATTATCATCCTTAGATTCCTATCCATTTGCATTCCATGTTTAAAGATAACTCAATGAACTCCTATTCAAGTTAATATTGTGCTTTTCATTGATGTGTAAACTTGATTATTAAACTAATGGACAAAGTTGAATAGCTCTCTTTTCTTTAAAAATTAAAAATAATATATTCCTAATAATTAAAATATTTATTTAACAAAAATAAAAACAAATATAAAAGCTAAAAAGACAGCACCCAAAGCATTACCAAGTGCAGCTGGAATTAAATTCCAATAAATAGATTCATACCATTGAATTTCATTCATTACAAAATTAATTTCACTTGTCATTGTAATATTACTAGTTGAACCATATAAAGAATCCCAAATGAAAATATGAGAAAAATAACCAACATTAGCAGGTGCATGTTGTACACCTAATGCAGCAAATGCTATAATTGGAAAGAATAAAGCAATAATTTTACCAATAATAGTAGTACCAGAAGAACATAATAAAGTAGCAACACCAATCATGAAATTAGCAACCATTCCACTTAATAAACAACTAAACCATCCATTAACACCTCTCTCTTCAAATGTATGAATTTTATGTTTAGTTGTTGAACTTAAAAATTGAATAACACTTTGATTATCATACCATACATAACTACCTGATAATATTGCTGACATTAATATTGTACCTAATATATTACCAAATATAGCTATACTCCATAATTTAATAGAATTTAATAATGTCATTAATTTAATACTCTTATGTGGTCTTCTAATTTTAATATGTAAATGATTTTTAAAACAAGTAAATATATTATTAAATAACCAATATATACTTCTTCTAAAAATACCAATTAAATCATTTTTAAATAAATGTACACTAACAGATATGTTAACTTCTGTAAATAGAATACTCTTACTAAATATAATCATTGTAAATGCACCAACAAATGCAATACCAATCATAAATTTTTGTAATGATTTAGTAGTAATATCAGATGAAATTAGAGCAGATAATAAAGTACCAATTGATACAAA